AAAAAAAGGAAATGTTAAAAAAAAAAAACGGTAGCCTAATTAAAAGATTTTTCTGAGATACCGCGCTGATTGTCTTGGACGATGGTAAGAGTTGGAGTCNAAAAAAAAAAAAAAAAATAAAGCAAATCAAGGCAAAACAAAATGAATAAAAAAAGAAACACAAAGGAAATGTTAAAAAAAAAAAACGGTAGCCTAATTAAAAGATTTTTCTGAGATACCGCGCTGATTGTCTTGGACGATGGTAAGAGTTGGAGTCAAAAAAAAAAAAGATCCAACAAACGCTGTAATGTGTCATTAAAAAAAAAAACTAATTTCGTATTGTTACGTGCAATTAATGATACTTTGGAAGATAGGATATGAGGGATTAATTTGTATAAAATTCACGTGGTTAATTCGTTACATGAAAAAAATAATCGAAAAAAATATCCTTATCCCGAATAAGGTCGAAGGTGAACACATATCACGTGTCTTCCTCCTTCTCATCTTCTTCTTCTTCTTCTTTTTCTTCTCGAGAGATCTTGTATTAAAAAAAAAAAAAAAAAAATTAATTAAAAAAAAAAAAAAACAAAGATAACCAGTAAATAAGAGAAAACGTGCGATACTAATTATCGACTTAACGAGAATTCGCTGCAAGGAGTATATATCGTTGCAAACTATAAGTCTATTAAAACATGATCGATTTTCTTACTCGACAAGGTCATTCGCGTGCTTCTTCTTCTTCTTCTTCTTATAATTCTCTTTCTCTATCTATTTTATCATTAATTATAATTACACACATCTTCCTTGAGATCGTCAAATACCATAGAAGATAGATAGATAGATAGATAGAGAGAGAGAGAGAGAGAGAGAGAAAGAAACACACGAGCGCACTATTAATAATTAATATTATTTATACGGTTACGGTTGGACAGAACTCGTAATTAACGCTTGTATCGATTGACCAATTGGATAAATTCAACGAAATATATTTCTAACTTATATATCGTCCGATGAAAAATATTGCCTTTTAAAAGAAAAAAAAGGAAAAAAAAAAAAAAAAGAGAGAGAGGATATTTGTAAGTGTCACTACTCGGTAATAGTTGAATAAATTCGATCTAAATACCTTTATGCTAGTAGCTCTATTAATCAATAGCTCGAAGCAAAAATATCTATCGTTTATGTCATAGATAGATGAAAGAAAAATGAATACTAGAAAATTCTTCTCTCTCTTTGAACCGATTTCAAAGTGAACTGAATCAAAATGCATTCCAGTCTAGGTCGTTACCTAGATATATAAGCCAGTTACCTATAAAACTATACTCAATTTTAGTGCCAACATTTTATTGAACTTGTATACTAATTCATAATAAATTAACAAAATATTCGATATTCAATTTCAATGAATTTAGATTTGTTTTAAAATATTGTGTGTATATATATTCGTGTTCCAACAAAATACTTAGAACTCTTATTATACAATTCTAAGTATAACCCGTGTTTAAGTATAATGTATGAAAGTTATGCTAGCTGTACAAATCTACCTAGTCATAACTGAAAAAGATCGTGCGTATTATTTCTATGTCAACGGAAATTTGATTCGATGGAACTTAATATATCGAAATTAGATGCCAAGAAAGAGGGCCTAAGTGTAAACTTTAAAGATTTACTGACTGATGATATCGTATTAACAGAAGATTAGTAGTGTTACAACTTTCGATGTCTTGTACTATAAAATTGTTAATTTAGGGATGTTTTAATACTGAATCTAAGCCAAATCGATTGTAAACGCCAAGTTGCTTGTCACAATAACGTGATCTCTATAAATGAACATCATAAAATCATGTTTCTCATTTTTATTTTATACTTATATTAATTATTATTTATTTTGAAAAATATTATTAGTGCTCTTGGGATATTTTATTCTATGACTATAATAAATTGTGAGATTGAACAAAAATTAATGTGCAATATGTATATATATATACATGTATATGTGATCGAATTTAAAAGTTAAAGTCGACTTAGGATAATTAAAAGGATCACGTATGACGCACGACAACGAATGTATAGTAATACTTGTAACTCTTTCGTTCGTTCCCTAAGTATTAGCAAGCTGGTCCTCAGCGTTGTGTTGTAATTACTATCATAACTATGTCTCTCGGCCGTCTCAGTCGTGAACCATTATGACCACAGATTAAATGCATCCGGTCTATAGTTTTAACGCGTTGCTTGTTTTTCGACAAAGTTCATCACCTATTTCAAATGATTTTTTCTTTCCCTAAGTAAAATATATTTTCTAATTTTGTTCCCATCGTAGAATATTTTTCTACAATAAATCGATTGGATCCTTTGTTTGTTTGTTTGTTTTTTTTTCCCCCTTATAATTTTTTCAATGTCCACGTCGAATTTTATTTTATCGTTCGCATAAGAATTAATAAAATATTATTTTATACGTTTTACGTTTCAGCACGAAATTTTCGCGATTTATTTTGTGAAAAATGGAAAGTATAAATATAAAAAAAAAAAGGAAAAAAAAGAAGAAAAATACGAAGAGTAGAAAACGCGCTGAAAAGAGAGACGCCCACGGAGAGCGGATGCTGGGTCGACAGGGTCACCTCTCTCGACAAAATGAATCTTTTATGCCTCTCGCAGACTCGCCTTTACGACGATCTCACTGACTCCTCGAGAATGTTCCGATTCGTTCTTTCAAATTTCATCTTTTTTTTGTTTGTTTTCAAAAGAACCTAATCCCACGAATATCGAGCTTCGGGAGGATTAACCTGAATAATCTTTCGTGCTTAATTATCAATCATTGATTTATCCTCACCCACGTGATTTATCCTTTACCGTAAAGAGTGCTATACTATTATAAAATTATATATATATATATATTTTTTTTAAATCAATTAATTGTTATTATAATTTATTTTTGTTCACATTGTAAAATTAATGTAAAAGTCTATTGGAACTTCAGAATTGTTCTATTCATTTTATTTGATTATATTTTCTTTTTAATTTTTGATATTAATCAAATAATGTAATCTGATATTCAAGATGGAGGACATTCCTCTTTTCTACACGAACGTATCATCAAAGGTATTCGAAAAGAAGCATCGCAACATCTCTTACAAAGAGAACACCACATTGATATTAATGTCACTCTAACCGACACCGAGCGTCCGTTTAATGATAGTGATCGTGGCACGAGCCACCCTATTATTCATTTCATTATCCAATTCAATGGCAGACTCGTTCTTCTACCTTCCATTAACTTCATATTTTTGAATCTAATCGAATTGTTTATCCTCGTAAATATTGGAAATGGATTTTTCCGAACTACCTAATCATTTTATTGTCTTCGCAAAACAATTCTATGGTTTATGGTTCGAGATACTAAAGAAATCAACAGCTGTGAAGAATTATGGCGAAGAGCCAACAAAAAAAAAAAAGAGGAAGAAATAAAAAAAAGAGGGAGAAATAAAAAACAAAATAGGGGGAATACATAAGATATACATGTATTATTTTTCTACTCTCTTTTATCTCGAACACGAGACGGTCACGTTCATGGCCACACGAAGAAAAAATTATGCATATATACATATACATATATATATATATGTATATATATTTATCTCCCACGTGACACGATCAAGTTACAACTAAAACAAAAATACGCATCTATCAAAAATATACAAATATATATATATATATTTTTTTTTGATTTATCTATTTATTTTGTATTATTTTTTCTTTTTTTCTTAAACAAAAAAATAGCAATGCAATTTGTTTGCACAATATATGCAAACAGTATTCGATGCGATACATCTCTCGTATCTTGGTAAGCAGCAACATATAAAGTAAATATAGGAATAGAACTGGCTCTTATCCAATCCCTTAATACCAGAGAAATGTTTAGTTAAGTTGTTGCGTAAACGAGAACGATTTACTTCAGATTCGAAAATTGCATTTTCATCCAATTTTCATTAGCATAAAATATGAATTTTATTATTGCAATATTAAACACGTTTGGAAATTCTTTTTAAGACAATTCGAATCGCATCTGTTTATTACATTTTTTCTTATTAATATGATTGAACTATTTAACATTAGATATACCATCCCATTTTTAGTATACCTATTTCAACCACACTAGTCAAAATGACTGATATTTAAACGCTTAATTATTTACAGAAATCAAATGTTACATGAATTAATAATGGCTCGTCTGGTATATCTAGTGTTAAAAAATAAACAATGACAAATTTTACATATAAAAGTTTCCACCTAGATAAGCCATGTTTGATAGATGTAAAAAATAAATTTAGGCAATAAAGTTCAAATGAAAAATGGTTAAAAGGAATTACACACGTACTCTTGGATCTAACGTAAGATTCATATAACAAATAGGTTTCGTAAGGCGACGACGACGAGGACGAGGACGAGGACGTGGACGTGGACGTGGACGTGGACAGTAAAGAAAATTACGTAGACGTTGTAATAATGAAAATGGCCGCAGTGGTAGGACCGTTAGAACGATTCTCAGGGATTTCTTAGCGGTAAGCTCGTACATATAGCTTAGAGAGTTATGCGGCTTATCGCTAAATCGGGAATGTGCCATAAACGTTGTGTCGTCTGTAGACGATGTCCATGTGAGGATAATCTTATACCTATACCAGAAGAAGAGAGTCAATGCTTTCTACGACGATTTATTTTCTAGCGGTAGAGAGTCGTAAAAGAATACTATAGTAAAATCCAACTATTCTTGACTTTTTTTATTTCTTTCTTACTTTAGTGTTTCACAAGTTGCATGAAGGAAAAGATGAGAATTTTGATTAGTGAACATAGTCTAATGGGATTGTATTTTTTTTTTTTTTTCTTATCGTTTTCTTTTCTCTTGGTTTCAATAGGTGAAGGTACACAGGTAAAGTTGAACATGTCAGGTTAAAGTGTAGAAACGTTTTTTGCATAATAATAATAATTTTTCTATAATTATTATTCCAAAGACGTTGCTATTATCTTACCTTCGTATGAAAACCCGAAAAGAAGGTACGTCGTGGGGCTGAATACGACGACATGTTGATCTTGTTGACGACCATGGTCATGGCAATTCAAGAATGAATCCCCTCTCTCTCTCTCTCTCTCTCTCTCTCGCTCTCTCGGTCTCCTTTCCTTTCTCTGAGATCCACGTGAAAATCGTTGGGGGGTGGGGGGCACACGTTTGGTTGTTCAACTTAAATCGATCATCCACTTGGACGTAGTTCTATTTGCTGCTAACCCCTTTTTTTTTGTAATTTCCTATATTTAAACTTCCAATTATCACGCACGTTTCTTTTCCAGGTTGCACTGGCAAAGTTTAAAAATAAGCATCGTACTTCCCGTCGTTGATCATATTTAAAATCAAATAAATCGAGTTCGTGTAGAAACGATAAACAATATAATATGATAATACATTCGTCACGCACGAATATGTATTTGATTTTTAATCGAGAAAATCATTCCGACGATTGTTTAAATAATAATCGTGTTGCCAACAACGAAATATAAAATCAAACATACCGAATTTCGATTTGATTGATTAATTACAAATATACCATACAATTTCGTATTATTTATAACTTTCCATAACTTGTTTCTATTTTTATTTTTAATTCTATCCACATGAAAAAAAAGCTCGTAAACCCCGTTGATGAGAAATGAAAACGATTATACGAGAATACCGAACATGCCAACGGACACGCTCCAACTGAACTCGAACGTACCTTACTCTGCCATTTATAGGTCCCCACTACTGTTTTAAACAACCAATCAGAATATTGCATTTGTTGACGGCGCGTTATACGAAACATCGAACGAAACTTGTTCGAGTATCTGTTGTGTTAGATTCAACGTAACCTTCGAACTCGATGGGACGTGTTCAGTTAGTCAAGAGTAAGGGTAGGGATAGAACGACGATCATTGGAAGATTCTTAAGCGTCGCGACGCGAGAACTCCTTGTGGTAGGGTGAGAAGAGGCTGGAACAGGCAATAGTTGATGCCACTTCTCGACGAATCGTGAAACTTTCGTAGAACGATTCACTTCTTTCGATAGATCCTCTTTGTAAACTTATTTACGATCGATCGATTCAACATTATTCAATATACATTTAAATGTAAACAATTGTCGGTACCATTTTCTATCATTACAGAGATTCTATCTTTATTTTTCAGTAAGATATTTTGCAGAAAATAATTGAACAATACTTTTTCAAGATTCGTGTTTAATCGTTAAGTAGAGAATGAAGAAAATTGTTCATCAACTTTGTTTTCCTCGTTATTTATTGTTATATGAAACTTTAATTTCTCGTCTATCATTAATTTGATTGCCTTGATATAAGATAATTATTATATTTCTTAATACGTGTTAATTTTATGCGAATCATGAATTATGCATTCAAATGATGAATATAATCGTTGATCGGTATTTTGAAATCGATTATTCTCAATTTAGAGACTTGTATTACGTAAATCCGAAACGGATTTTCCGAATGATATTAAAAAAGACAAATAAACTGACAGTGAGTAAGGAGTTATCTTAATTTTTTGTTGACGTCACAAAGAAAGGCACATATGGGTTCACGGGGAACTTCCAATTTCTGAGTAAAACTCGCGGAGATGTTGAGGACCGGCAAAGAGGGTTCTTCTGCTTGAACAGCTGTTTTGATAATCCACGGCACGAAGAAAGAAAAAGAAAGATTTACGTTAAAAGGGGTCAAACACTTGCTTACGTAGAATCTTATACTTCGATGTTAAGATTCTTACGAACTTAAGCGAAATTCGAGCGGAAAACGATTTTGTTGAGGTTAGCAACACGTGAGAGTTCGAGCAATTCGTATAAACGTGACGAAATAAAAAAAAAAAAAAAATAATAAAAATAAAAAGAAAGAAACTAACAACGCAAGGGCTAATAAACGGTAACACGCGTTCATTGAGCTCGAAAAAGAAAAAAAGGAAAAACAGAAAAATAATGACTCAAACGTTAAGTGTCATCGCTCTTATTTTCTGTATAAAATTGATTTCTTCGTAAAAATGAAATCTATAGAAATAGAAAATGTAAAGAAATGACCAATTTTTCTATGAAAAGATAAAATAAAAATATTAAATATACTGATCTAATTTTCTACAGAAAATGATACTATAAGATATCAATGACTCTTAGCTCTCTACTGTGAAAAAATATAATTTTATAAGAAAACGAACAAAAAAAAATATATTTTCGTAGTATAGTAAAGATAATTAATAATGTCTACATTCTAAGTATAATAAAAATACAAAGTTATAAGATAAAATGTATATATGAGTATAATTTGACATGAAACTAAAAACTATATTTTCTTTTCATTAATATTTTCTTTTCATCATCCTAATTTGTTTTTCTATGGTGGGTTCCTATTCCTATACGACGAGCTATGAACTTTGACAGTGTAAATCAAGTGAGAAAATAAGAGTGGCGAAGGAATCGGCGTCGCGACGCAATTAATTTCGACGAAGTGCGATGATGATGATGATGGAGCCTTCTCCGGTACTATTTGTGACTTCGCGAGAAGAAAACGATGCTATAGAAGACGCAGAATCGGTGAAAGAGTAAGAGAGAGGGAGAGAGCGAGAATAAAAAATACAAAAAATACAAAAAAGGAATGAAAACAAAAAAAAAAAAAGGATTGCGCTCGAACGCTGTACTCTTTGGCGACGCACAGTCGCGTGTATATTTATCCAAACCAGCCAAACTCTACTACTAACTGGTACTTTGCGACAACTTTAATAAGAACAACTACGATCATTCTATTATTTACCCCTTACTTCCTATTTTTACTTTTTTTTTTTTCAAGCTGTTACTAACCCAAAAAATGTTTTTTCTTCTTCTCTACGATTTATTGCTAACAAAATATCTCTTCTATCCATTGTTTTTTTTTTTTAATACTTTGGAAATTTGGGTTTTTTTTCCTCCGTATATAATTAAAATAAATAATCTCGAACAAATCTGGTATGTTTCCTAATTTATATTACTTTTGGAAAATTTTGTTTTTATTTTGTTTTCTTCCTATGTAATTAAAATAAACACTCAAAAGTATCTTTTATGTTTCCTAATGTATATCAAGTTTTTACAACAATATTTATTGGTAAGACGATTTTTATTGTTGAATTATAGTGAACGAGAGATGTCTTCCATCTTTGTGAATTAATAGAATCGTATTATAGAAAGAGATCGTACCTAACAGCCACTTAAATTTAACTTCGCCTAGAGAAACCAGTTGGATCAAGGACTCGTGGCTTTTTGATTGGCCGGTTGAGGACAATCGAGATGATGATGATGATGATGATGATGATGATGATGATGGAGACTACTATGACTGACAACGCAATATTTTATTTTACTGTTATTTTTTCAAATTTATAAGAATAATTTAGAAAATAAATGTCGAGAAATATAAGAAATAACATTTTTAGCAAAATTACTCAAACTTTAATTATAAATTATTATCATTAAATAAGTATTATAATTGATTAATGAACAAACTGTAAAAAGGTTCATTCGAACAATTTATTCATACACATTTTTGGAAATAAATAATAAATAACATTGCACACATACACAAGAAAAAGAAAAAAAAATATGAAATAAAATAAAAATTGAGAATAGAATTGGCTCGATGAAACTTAAAGAAAAAAGATCGGTAGCGAAGCGCAATATTAAATTGCTCGAAGAATAATACGAAAAAGAGATAGATAGGAAGAGAAAGATAAGTGAGCTGAGGTATTCGATAAAGGATGAGAATGAGACACGAAGATCGTTAATGGCACATAATTCACGCGATGAATGCGAATTACTCCCCGTTGGCTGTAATTTTCTTCCTTCTTTTTTTCTTTTTTTTTTTCCTTTTTGTTTTTTTCTTATTCCTACATCTCGGGAGCCATCTGTTTACTTATGTAATGATTGTGCAATAATTACCGATCTTTAAGCAATTTACTGCCTTAGGCGCTACCGAAAGAATCTTGCCAACAAAACAAAAAGGATTTAACATACTCGATCGACTTCTTCTTCTTCTTCTTCTATTTTTTTTTAATTTTCATTTACATTGTTCTAAGGTCAACAAATATCAGCATCTGTTTAGAAAGGTCAAATATTTCTAATAAATTGACCTATGAATAAATTTCATCTCGATAGAAAAACTCGTCAGAAATTTCATATTTTTTTTTCATTTCTGATTTCAAACGGTGTTATATTTCAATACTAAATATTTTATAATAAACGTTCTGATCTAAACAATTTATCCACATTTCGGACAAAAAAAAAACAAAGTGTAGAGAACTACAAAAGCATTTCAGATAAGATACTCTTTCAAAAGTTTCAAGTTCCGGGCTTGAGTTTAGTGTCATACAAATTCAGAGGCCAGATATATAAATCAAAATTAGCGTAAAGATTTAACGAATGTGTGTGTTTGTTCGGAACGAGTCTAAAATGGTTAATGGTTCAATTGTTTGGGTCAGTTCACGCAATAAAATATTAGTCACTCGTAAGTTTGTGAATGAAAAAAGGACTATACTTTTAAGGAGTTTCGATTCTATTCAGTTGAACACTTAAATATGTATATGCACATACGTATATGATCGTGGGTTATTATTTAATTCGATTAATGAATCCAATAGGTTGACCTTGGAATAATTTCGAGCATTCATACCGACTAATGAAATTTCGAACCTTCAACCCACGCACTATTCAACCTTACAAATGTATTTTTTGTAATTTATCAAGTTAAAATCGATTAACGCGTATTACCTCGTGAGAACGAATCAACATCTTTCTGTCCTACACACGCGTTTTTTTTTATCTTCTTGTTGTTGTTTTTTTTTTCTACTTCATTGTAACACAATAAGCTAATAATAAACGTTTGCTTTGTAATATTTCCCGAGTTGTTCTTCCCCTTCCATCTCCTCTTCTTCCTCCTCCTCCTCCTCCTCCTCCTCCTCCTCGTAATATTCCGTAGGTAATTTCTCAGGACTGTCCATTTCCTCTGGGAAATAATCAGCGATTACCTTTTGTACTTCATTTTGGTCTTCAGTTGCAAAGTATGGGTTGATACCAGCAAATGCTAAAAAAGCTTCTTCGTTTATCTTTTTAATGACAACTACGAAGATTTCTATCGTTGCCTTCTTCACCTTTTAATTAATTCATTAATTATAATATTTATTTACATATATATATATATATATATATATATATATATATATATATATATATATATATATGTATGTAATAATACAATTTTATTGTTTCTAACTTTTCTTGTAAATTCTTCAGGACTGTTGGCTATTTTTCTAGCCAATAAAGGTTCGTCGATTGAAAATGCAGCAAAATATTCGATAGCCTCCGAGTAATGTTCAAATGCATTCTTTAAATCGTCCGGTTTTTTTGCTGAATATTTAAAAGCGCAGAGCGGCGGGGGTGGTTTTGGTACTTCGTAGGGATGATTTTCAGCCATGTATTCAGGGAATAACGTCATGAAAGCATGGACTTTGCTTCTAGCCTGATATTTAATGAAATAGTTTAAGTAGATGCTAACAAGTTAAGTTAAATTGATATTAAGTTGATACGTGATCGTTTATTATTCAATTTTGAATAATTAGAAGGTAAGGGATACATGTTGAGGTGCCCAAATAGGTGGATCGATTCTATATAAATCTTCTTCGTTTTCAGGATCAGGCTCGTGAATGTAAATGTATCTTTCCATGTATGTACCAACAATAGAATGTCTAGGTGTTTCGAGTAAATTTCCAACAATTGTTTTTCTATGAGAATGGCTTTGCAATAAATTATGAAAAAATCTTTCAACATCGTTTATGGCTCTTACTGGACACTTTTCTTTATCTATAATTTCTGGACAAGTGTGGGGATAAGGAACAGGCCATTCATGTGGCGGTGGTCTACTTTTTAATCTAATAGCCAAACATTTACCATCGGTCAAACCTATAAAATCCAAAATTGTCAATCATAGTAATTACAAAATCTCCTAATTAATAATTACCTATCAACAGTTCTTCCGTTATTTGAATATCACTCTCAACTAACATTTTTTTAATAATTTCATCGTCAAGTTGAATTTTCTTTTCTTCTTGAACGTCAAAAATTTGTCTAAATAAATCACGAACTAATTCGGTATAGGGCTGACATTGCATTTTGATCTTTGGATGGCCTTGTTCATCTCTAAATACCCATGGATACATCACGACTATCATTAATTCGCAAAGTTCCAACATCATTTGTGCCATAAACGCTTCGTACTCTTTCTTCTTCTTAGCATCTTCCTCAGCCTTCTTCTTATTTTCGATTGCTTTCCTTTGAAATATTCGTCGCGTGTTCAAATAAACGCGTTAAATAATCATTTCTATTCGATCAATTAAACAAAGAAAAAAATCTCAGGCCCAATTAGATGAAAACATTTTATTCTCGTTAAAAAAAAAAAAAAAAAACAGTAAAAAATTGCTGTTTTACCTAATGGCTTCCTCTTTTTGCCATTTGACTTCTTCTTCGGGTCCACGTTGGTCAACGGACATTTGCCAAGCTGGTGGAATTTCTTCCTGAACCCTATGTACCTCGGCCAATAAAATTCTATACAATTTAGGTGCGTTGGCACCGAACACCAAATTCACCATTTTACCATCCTGAATAAACAACCAAACCGGTTCGCTATAACCGCGAAATCTTGCAAGATCTTCGATCTCATCGTTCTTTGCTATCGCATAGTTTATCATTTCACCGGCTACTTCCATCTTGATCTTTCGTAGGAGACTGATCATAGCCGCACAAGGTCCGCTCCATTCGCTATAAACGTCAACTACTATCAGACCTGGCCGATTTAGCAGCTCCTGCCATTCCTCCTCGGTGTTGACCTCGCTCTGGAGTGCGACCGCTCCTTTCTTGGCTTTCGCCATTACACATACACATTTAACAACGCCCTTTCAAACGTTAACCTCTTTACTTTTCCAACCTTTATTTCAATCTTTTTCCTTTTTTTCCTTTTTTTCTATTCGCTTATTCGATTACAATCAATGTTCATACGTTCTTTCAACAACTATGTTTTTTTTTCTACTTTTACTCTTTTGCTTTATTTTCTTTTTCCCGATAACCTATTTTCCTTTTCCCAAATTTTATTTATTTAAACTGACTATTCGTTTGTTTATATATATATATATATATANATATATATATATATATATATATATATATATATATATATATATACTAGGATGTTCCGATCACACGTACTGAATTTTTTTATATAAAGATATATCAAATCGTTTCTCATTTGATTATTTGATCGTAATGGCACCAGATAAAAAGTCGCCATCTTTGATATACGTTTATGTTACTCGTATCCTGCCGGTAAAGACAGAAACAGCTAAGAAGAAGCAGAAGTAGAAGAAGAAGAAGAAGAAGAAGAAGCAGCAGAAGCAGGAGGAACAAGTTAAAACAAAGAAGAAGAAGAAGTAAAAGAAGGAAAGATCGAGGGCAGAGATAAGCTCGTTTGAATCTTTGGTACATCCCTTACATACACACACACACACATACACATATATCTACTTCTTTACATCCTGAGTACAACTTTTGACCGTACTTAATTCGTCTCGGACTTGCGATAATTAGTCAGCCGAGAGATGATAGCAATTCAACGTCTTCTCGTTTGATAGACGAGAAAAGCGAGGAAGAAATTTACAGCCTGCCTTATGTTTCACACGGTTGCTCTCACCGATCCTTCTATCCACATATGCATACGTATGTGTGTATATGTTGTATAAACGAGAGAGAGAGAGAGAGAGAGAGAGAGAGATAATAATTAATCACGACTCGTTACACAAGTCGCTTATGAATGATTTATAAGTTGACCTTTAAAGAATAACAAACCGATTTCACGAAAAATAATTCGTCGTTGATCTTTTAACGACCCACACGTTTCAATTTTCTTTAACTTTCATCGATTTGATTTATTTATTTCTTATCTTTATTATTTGATATTTTTTCTTTTTGTTCTTCTTCTTCTTCTTCTTCTTTTAATTCTTCTCTCGATATCGATTAAAATTTATGTTTCGAGAATCGAATAATAAGAAACGAACACTTGCATATCACGTGAATGGAATTATTTTCTTTTCTTTCATCTTGAATAATATACATTTTCTAAGCGTTCGTTAAATCGTCAAATGTTGTGTCCGTTAATCGTTGTGTTACATCACGTGAATTATGTATGCACGTATTAAAATATATATGTATGTATGTGTATATGTGTGTATGTGTATGCATGCACCTACTGGCTCGTAATTAACGCACGGAAATAGACGCAAGGCCGTTACTAATTTAGTTATTTCAATCACTTTCGATATCCGTCTTGATTAATGATCACGATGATCTTTCTAAATGCTGTTATTTTATCTTTCATATTATTGCTTTGAAATTATTTCTCTATGCTAATTGTCTTTTTTTTTAATTCTATCTTATACACAATTAAAATGTCTATAAAATTATTTCTTAAAGATTGACAATCAATATTATTTAGCTTTTTTTTTTTATTTAATTTCATTTATTATTTTTTTTTTTGTTTAAATGTACGTGTCAAAGCATTTCGTAACATTGTAAAATAACATCTCAAATTTCGCACAAATACCTGACTGTTTACGTGAAATAAATGTGACGAAATTAAACCAGAAGTAAAAACATTTTGCAAAGGTAGCAAAATTTGTACGAAGAATATCTCGCTTAAACAACAAAAAAAAAACGTCAGACGATATCATTTTCTTTTCCGTCTATAGAAAAGGATGGAATTATTTTTTATTCTCTTTTTTCAACGTTATGAATTTTCCCTGTTAAAATTGAATCGATTTTCTTGACCCAGTTTAGAAAAACACTCAGAGGTTTTTTTTTTTCTTTTCTTTCTTCTTCGTTGCTTAGGTAAAGATGTCATTTCGTTTCGTTGAAAAATTTCTACAACTCAATTTTCTTCATGTTCATCTAGTTTATGAGGTTTCTGTCAATCAACGATTAGATTGACGACGCTGGAGCCAACAGCGTGTAATGGACTTTACGATCTTCATTGACGCTGTTGTCAAGAATGTGTATGATTTCTTCCAATGAGTCTAGACTAAGATTTTTCCTCTTCTTCATTTTCTGTATTTTTCTTTAACCTGGATACAAGATAGATTAAAGGAAAAGATAAAAGTACAGAAATAAACGATAGACATTGAGATAATTATAAGAGACACTTGGAATAAGTTTTACGAGAAAGATCTCACACGAGAGAAGAGCAAAAATGAACGGACAACTATAAAAACAAATACTTAATAACGAAACGAGCCCAACTAGAATTAACGTTAGACCGTATTTGCATTGGTCATTAAAATTAAACGCTTGATTTTTTATCAACAAAGACGAGAGAATCCTACGAATACGATGTTCACAAATTTAAACTACGATACGAGCTTTGTTAAATCAATTTTATCGATAAGATTGGAGTTGATTTCATTTGGAAACATATTTTGAATTATTTATGAACTTATTTCGAGATTACGTTACGAATGATTTATCGTCTCATTGGTGTATCTATAATTTATTCTAAATAAGAGATATATAAAGAGTATGTATTTTCTTGCAATTGAGTCGTTGTTTCTAAACGATTCACTTCACATATTACGTTTACATCTCATTCGAGAATATAGGTGTAGTACTAAACCTATGAATTACGTTCCCGACAAAGGCGTCGTTAAATCGATCGTTCGATATCATCTTATAGTTAGTTTGACCTTCGAGTAACGCCTCCACAAATCGAAACACGCGATCGTAAAATGATATGATTCATTATAAAACGACTAGTCTTTTGACGATAATCCAATCATTTGTGATCATTTTATGACAACTTAGAAGAGTGTAGATTCATTCTTTTTTAGTTTTCTTTTTTTTTTTTTGTTAATTGTCAAGTAATCGAAAGAGTATACGTCGATTATTTCAATCATTATTTCATTTTTTTAACACGAATATATTATTATCTTTATATTGAACGTGCTCTTAAGCTGTACTATATCTGCATGACAGTCTTATTATTATCAAAGACTGTATCACGCGAGCAATGTTTGCAAAGGGGCCACGTTGGCAACGAAAACGAATCTTAAGTAGAACAAGCTCGATTCTCGGAACACCGAAAGTAGTTCTGCCAAAACACCTGTAAGGGCTCTTCTTTTCGATCTAACTCTAGAAAATTATTTTAGATCAATTATTTTGTTTCTATCAACGAGAAGTTTGAAAAATATATTTCTATTTTCTGACAATTCCTTTAGATTCGAATAAAAAAGTACAAATATATTGGATCGCAATAAAATAGAAATGAATAAATTTTGTTAACAATTGGAAAATCATTCGAAATAAATTATTTTATTTTCAGCCACGAAAAGTTTGAAAAATATATTTCTATTTTCTGACAGTTCCTTTAGATTCGAATAAAAAAGTACATAAATAACGAATCGCAATTGAATAAAGATGAATAGAACTTTGCATTGTATTTTTATCGTATCAGAAGAAAGGATAAAAAACGTTTTGTTAACAATTGTTGAAAAATATATTTCTATTCTCTGATAGTTCCTTTAGATTCGAATAAAAAAGTACATAAATACCGAATCGTGATGGAATAAAGATGAATAGAATTTTGCATTGTATTTTTATTGAATGAGAAGAAAAGATAAAAAAAAGAAAAAAGGTTTTGTTACAAAATTGGAAAATCTCGCCAAAGGCGTTGTTGACTTTCTTTCAGGATGATTACGAATCATCGCATCAGTTACTTTCTGACTAACGATCGTGGGACTTTCCACGTTTCTCCATTACTAACGCGAGTACGACAAATCGTGTCAGGCGTGCATCGCACGATAATCAAGAATATGAGTCATGTGCTTTCGAGCGTGTCTCTCGTGAAAAGAGGCTCAAAGGCGTGCCCTATTATACGCAAAAAAGGTTCAAAAATATTTATTTTCATATTTTTTCTCGAGTCTTTAAAAAAACAAAGTGAAAATATAATTGCAATGTTTTATTTTGAAATAATTTAATACAACGTTTATTTATTTAACACGAAAGTTTATTTTTAATTTTTAGTAGGAAGGACAAAAAATGTGTTGTTTTTCTCAAGAAAATATCATTGATAAAAAAAGATAATTTTATTCATTGGTATGTTATTTTTTTCTCACGCAGTATCCGTTTTCCCAGAGTGCACACGACAATAATTAACCTGGATCGACTGGTTGGAGGAAGACCCACGCTCAATGACTATGGTCGACTACGACTAGTTTCTTGCTCGTTACAAAGGAGGAAGATAAGCTTGAAATATGCAGATCGTGGCTTTTAATCGAGTCTCATCCAACTAAGAAGAGTAGTATCACCCTGCTTGGCCTGGCTTGGTAATTATTAATAATCCGAGCGTACTACTCTAGTGGCTCGCGACGTTTCTCACCGTTTTCTAGGCCGGCTCAAAGGAATCAAAGCTTTGCCGACGTATTTCAAAGAATTTCAAGTGGACGAGAAAAAAAGAAGAAAAAGAACAAAAAAAAAAAAGATCTACCACGTTTGACCCACATTTACAACAATTTCTTCCTAATCCTTTCAATTTATCTACAATTTTTCACAATCAAAAGTAACACGTGTAGAATAAAAATGATTTACGAATCTTATGACACAGTTCATATTCAATTTGTAAATATTTCATCGATGAAATAAGAATAAGAATTATGTATATATATAAATACGTATAATTGAAGTCGTGTTAAAAAAA